CTTTAATACAAAAATCAAACGGTTTAAAATATTACTACAATTAGGGAAATGAATTTGCAAAACATATGATAAAATTGTACTTACTTATTAGTGCAACCTAAAGATTGGTGACACTTTGAATTTCATAGCAAATGGTTTTTGCGACAAGCACGCCTATTTGTGGTACATTTAGATTTGCAGTCACATTTTCTGAAACCCTGCCCAGTATCAAGGGATTGTTTTATTGCTGTTTGACGTAAAGGTATTTCTACAGCAGGGACATCCATCTTCTTTCGTTAAAAACCTCTCTTTGCAAACACTGAATTCATGTGTTCAAGTCAAGTGTGTGTGTCATTCATTGGCACTATGCATTCATCATTCAGTATCCAAACTCCCATCAAATATTGGATTTTTATTGGCAGAAATACCAAGTTGGTTTCGTCATAGCGAATTACGAAGAGATGCATTCAAGGAATTATTTGCAGCTACGAACACTTCTCCAGATCTTCAACAAACCAGAACTGAACCACTTCCGTTTGAAAAACGTTCATTCACTCGGTGGCTTGTGCGTGGGAAGGTAATGTTTAATATTCTCTGAACTGGGAAGAATTAAGAAAGATGGACTGTCTGTAGACACAGAACAATTTTGGATTGGTGTGCTTCAGCATCATGCATTTAGAGCTTGCAACCTTTGCCTTTACTTGTCTGATAACCCCTATCAGCAATGCTGTAGTTGAAAGGGCATTTTCTCTGTGAAAACGAAGACAAGAAACAGAATGCAGCTAAATCTTCTTGATGCGATTGCAGTGGCGTGCCGTGACATTTGATGATAGGGAAGCTGTGTTTCTGTAAGAAACCGACTTCCAGGGGCAATCAGTTAATTGCGCGTGATGGTCTAGGGTCCATTCGTATCGTTTGTTCGATAAACCAGTAAAAACAGCACACTTCTCTAAATGTATTTTTAATATCACAATTACATTCTAAATCGCTAGCCACGATATAAGGGCTACAATTAAAAATTAAACAATAAAAACTTACTTGGTGAAATAAAATGTGTGGTGGATGTACTGTACAGTACAGTACATACCCGGTACAAAATATTCTTCAATTGTATGAATATATCAATACTTTTAAAGAAAATTATAATTAAATATAGCTTTCTAGAGAAACGTACATAAAAATAACAATATTTTTTACTTTTTAAATCTTAAAGCAATTCACTTAGTCAAATAGCTCCCTACAAGTGGGTAATGAATGGAACCAGAGACGGTTGCAGTGCGTACATACACGCGGACTGCCAAATTCCGAGGGTGCCGATATTGGTCAATGTCAAATACCTCTTTTGTCGCATCACTAGTACTGTATATCTCAAAGGACGCGAAAGGGTTGTTGTAAATTTTAAACGATCCTCTCCATAGCTTTAAAAATCTAAATACAGTATGTTAACTTGATTCTTTCGATATCGAAATTTAAATAAACAACATTGTGTTAATTTGAGTGTACAGAAACGTTGCTGTTGTTCCAGCAAAAATCTTATTTTCACTTTACCGAGTGCCTAGTAGGTAATTTGCAGATTACCTCGATAATCTGCACATTACCTAGGTAATTTGAGAAACGGAACAATTTTCACAACTTTAACGGATCACCCTAGTTAATCTGCAGATTAGCTAGGTAATGTACACATTAACGACTTTCGAGCTTTAGCAATAACATATATAAAAACAATAAAAAGTAGATTACAGCAATATAGTTTTTATGTTATTACTGTCGATTGAATCATGATCAACTATTTGATATTGTTCTTTGCTGCTTTTGTTGTCATTCAGTTATTGTAAATTAAACATATTCAAATAAATTGAAACAGAATAATTTTAATTACAGATATCTTCATGTAATTAAGTGCCAAAAAAGTATCGTGTTTTACAAATCCGTGCTCTACGAAACAAAAGACACGTACAAATCATAGGGATAGGTTCCAAAAGTTAGGCAAAGTATAATATTCATTTTCGTAATGTAGAAAAAATATTATATGTTTATTAAAGCAATCAATAATTAATTAACAATTACGGTTAACAGTATTGCACCTTACTTTTTATTCGCTGATAGATAGAGTTAAAACCATATTATTAAACAATTAAATAATACCTTAGAACCCTGATTATCTAAGATAATGTGGACTAAAGACAGCCAGGGCCAATTCAGATTAAAAATTGCAAATATAAAAGATTTATATAGTAAATCACTTTTTATACCATAGTAAATATAATTATACATATGAATATCAATTTTATGCCATTTATTACACATATAATGCCTAGAATAGTTTTAAGAATAAAAATATGTATTATTGAAGTACATTTTAATATGAATGGTTTGTCTAATTTAACATTAAAGTTAAATAATACAAGGTTAAAGTTATACGAATAATCCTCTGGCGATTCTGTAAACATATCTCTTTGAATAATGTGTTACGCATTATTGTTTTTCACAAATTTTCATTCAGTCTATTGTAGATTATAGTTTATCGATTTAAATCGTGGCTGCCCCCGCTCTTTTAAATAAAATTGTGAGAGGCCAGAGATGAAATGAAATATTTAATTAATTGCAACAAAATAGAGAATTTATTTAGACTAGCGCTTAAATTTCACATAATTGGAAAAAAAACAGATTTTTAAGCAAATTTAAAAATTTCTACCCATAACATCCTTCAAAATTAATTAAAAAAATAATATACCGTAAAAATATAAAATAATATATACTGTCAATTTAAGTGTAAATAATAGAGCCCTATATAAACAGAGTATGGCCACTCTAACGCATGGATGCCATCTTGAGGCCAAAGTTGCAGTGTCATAGCACTATTTAGCATTTAAATGAGCAATGTTTAATAATTCAAATGAGCAGAAATCAGATTCAGAAAGAAATTATATTAAGTTAAACGTTTTTAGAAATAATTTTTAATTATGTTCGGAAAAATTGTAGTTTATAAGTGTTGGACAAAATATATAATAATAACAGGGCTAGAAGCAAAAACGTGAAAATATTAAAAAATTATATTTAGCGGATCACATTTATTCACAGCGCTATTGCAATATAAATAATATAAAACATTGCATTTAAATTTAAAAATATAATAAAGATAAAAATTATTAAAAAAAATCAATAAAGTTTATTTTTAAACAAGAAAAACTCAAGTAACATAGTATAACATAGTAACAAATAGTGATTATCTGCATTTCTTGCAAGGAATGCAGATAATCCCTAAATATCAATCATTTATTTAAAAAAAAAGGTAATTTCCCTGTTACATTTGTTAATGAAAGGGTTACAAAAAACTTGGAACAGTTTCCAAATTATTATTAGACTTATACTCTTATTTGACAATTGATTTCAAATACAGTCGACTCCCCTAAAAGATCATAGATACGTTCCATTCTTTAGGAATCCGATTTCTTACGAGTCCTTCCAATCACAGCCCGACACGTGTGAAGTTTACGGACTACTGCTGTTTGAAAAATTTTCTTCCATAAAATTAATCGATTCTAGACTAATCCGACTCAACATTTCCAAAATACGTATATATTTTTTTTGGGAATAATCCGTATAAACTACGCTATAAACAAAAAATTGTAGGATTACTTACCGAGTGTGCACCATTCGACATCGCCATTGCTCAAGCTTGTTTTCGTCGCGGAACAGCTCAGCAAACCGCGGCCGATTTCTAATAACTTATTTTTCTGCGAAAAGTTCCTTGAACTTCGGAGACATCATTAATATAAATAATTTTAATCGCCGTTGAATAAGAAATGTTTCTTTCACAAGAAATGTATAAAATTACAGTACTGTATTAGACTTACGGTACCTAATTTACAAACTAAACAGACGATAGTTAGCCTAAAATCTCCGTAGCGTGGCACTACGCGGCAAAAAATATATATATAATTATAATAAAGTTACAATAAATTACAGACGACCCCCCTATAATTACGGTCCCTATAATTACGATTCCTATAAAACTACGAAAAAATATACGTATTTTGGAAATGTTGAGTCGAATTAGTGTAGAATCGATTAATTTTGTGGAAGAAAACCTTTCAAACAGCCGTAGTCCGTAAACTTCACACGTGTCGGGCTGTGATTGGCTCACGTATTTAAGGATTCCTACAACGCGAAATTCGAATAACGAAGAACGTATCTTCGCGTTATAGGGGGGTCTACTGTATTTGATATATTTATTCTGCTCTTGTATTACTTACAGATTTCAATGTTAAACTAGTGATATTACTATTTACTATGGTCCTAAATTTTGGGATATAAGGGGATGCAGAAAAAAATGTGTACAATTTTTGTACAATGTTAAAAAAATTAACTGTTACTTTGGCAGCTTGATTTACAACTAAATTTAATGAATGAGACACACAAGGTACAAAAAAAAGCTCTAGAATTTATATTCTTTAAATTTACGATTTTTGTATCCGTTGTCATAAAAATTTGTTTTTTCCATTACTTTCCCAAGAATACAAATATTCAAATTCGAAGTAACTGGTTTCAACTTATTTTTACTTAACAAGTAATTAAATAATTAATAGTATGAGGAACGAAGAAACTCCAATAAAGTGTTATTTTAAACTTTAATTATTGGGAAAGTCAATCGTCTAACTTCTAGCGTTTTATCAAGTTAAGCTAAAAGCTATAAAATTTATTTTCCACGGAGTTAGTTCCTTGTTGAAATGGATCCAGCTAGTCAGTGATGTGTCACCCGGAACTTTCGATAGAGTGCCCATATTGGACGCTTACTACTTCGTTGTAGGCGTCCATATTTAATCGTTTAACCTGCAATTTACTTTAAGCACGCTCTCCTCTGATTCTTCTTGACAACTGGATGTCCTTTGGCATAATGGTTACTCTCTTGGCATGGATAGCGCACAAGTTTGTATCTTCAAAAAGACCTACCAAGTAAGCCTCGCTCGCTTCCTGCAAAGCCATGACAGCCGAACTCTGGAATCGAAGATCGGTCTTGAAATCCTGAGCAATTTCACGGACCAAACGTTGGAAGGGCAACTTTCTGATCAACAATTCGGTTGATTTCTGATAACGACGGATTTCTCTAAGAGCTACTGTACCGGGCCTGTAACGATGAGGCTTCTTAACACCACCGGTAGCCGGAGCACTCTTTCGGGCGGCCTTGGTAGCCAACTGCTTTCTTGGTGCCTTACCACCAGTAGACTTACGAGCGGTTTGCTTAGTACGTGCCATTACTGACGAAGACGAAGAATATCAGACCAAAAATACTCGACAGCGAAGAAATAAAACAACTTTAAAAAAAACTTAATTAATTAACAACAACCTCCTGACCCATGGGAAAAACCCAAGAGGAATAACAAGAGGGAACGGAAAAAACACCCGAAGTCAGTCGTCTTCCAAAGTCCGTCCACCAAAGTCGTCCTCAAGGATTAATACCGTGACCAAGAATCCAGAATAAAAACTGTGACAAAGATCGTGCCTCTTTAAGGATATTGTTTTTTTTTTTTAATTTTTAACTCTTTCCGCCCTGTGGGCACTAAGAGGGCCTCTTTTTGCAAGCCCATTATGGATTCAGCCAGGCCCACAATGGGGCTACCGGGTGGTGAGGGACGGAGCCTGACATATCCGAACGGACCACCCCCCGAAAAATTCCTGGGGTTTTTTCTTGGGGTCTCCCAGAGTGGTAGGCTGCCACTTTGACCGCTCGGCTATCCGGCCGCCTCTTTAAGGATAACATCCCCACTTCAGTGCCTCCACACAGTAGTGCTCCTGTTACCGGACACTCTAAAGACCCAGAACAATTTCATCGAATCTCGAACATTCTATCGACGGGTTATCCAGTCATCGTATAACAGATTCGACTCAGTTAAAAGGTATTTATCAATACGCGATTCGTTTGTAAACTCTTTCTCTCTCTCGAACGGCCTAGTATAATTCGGGGCAACTTTAGGCATGCCCGATATCAAATATATCTGTATTTTCTTTGGTTCTTATTAAAATTGTTATTTGTTAGTTAATATTGAATCCGAGTGAGTCACTTCCTCGTCTCTCTCCTCACCTCTGCTCCGAAGCCCACCGCTCAACCGCTACCGCTTGCGTGACGTAAAGTCGCAATTTCCGAGTCCTGCGAGACTCGGTGGTGTCATATCTTGACGTGGTGTCAAAGAGACACCATGTCAAGATCCTACGGTCACAATAGATTATGGAATTAGGGACATAAATAAACCCTTGGAAAGAGACGGAATTTTACTTAAAAAGAAGTTTAACTGAACCAATCTCTAGCCGAGTACAGTGGGGACAAATTTCTTCGTAATATTAAAAATTCATGTCTTTATTATATTTAGTAATAAATTTCTGTCTTTACATTTAGTAATAAAAATTTCTGTCTATTACATTCAATAATAAATTTCTGTCTTTATTACATTTAGTAATAAAGACAGATATTTTTCCAGTCCAATGAGAGTGACCGAAAAGTTGTAAATTTTGGAAATTTCCATGAACACCTGGTCCTAAAACGAATTAGTTAGAAAACAAATAACGAACAATCTATTAAGTTTAACATACAGGTAACCCCCGTATAACACGGTACTTTTATAGTACGGATTCACTCTGACACGGTTCGAGAAATGGGTAAAACCCTCGTACAACATGAAATGTAATAAATTTTTACATACTGAAGTACTAATAGTTCACGAAAATAATAATTTTCGTGAACTATTAGTACTTCAAAAACGATTTTTTAAAGTTTGAGAGATCGACGATCCCGCTAATTACCACCATTGGTGAGATTAGCACGCATAGCGTATATCGTACTTCAGTTCAAACTTCATTAGTAACGATAGCGCCTCTGCGCAAAGCTTCAGTGTGTAAATTTTCTTTTCTCGTCTCCATACACATGGTTCGTCGCGAAAATTGTTTCAATTTTGCCAGATCTCGACGCTTCTGCTTCTGATGTTGCCAGATGTTTTCTTCTTACTCCATAAGTGCTTAGCACCATATAAAAAAATTTATAAATATCTTTTAACTAGAAGCGAGCAATCTAAAATTACATACACTTTTTGCAAAAGGTAAAGCATGAATCTGAAAATAATGCAGAAAAATGCTCAGAGGATAACGATAACTTGCCAAAAATAAAACGCTCTCGGTNAATCACGATTTTATTCGTTATCAGCATTTGTAATATTTTATAAAACCCATCTCTACCTTTAAAATTAAGCTTTTTGCCATTTTATAATAGTTAAAAGTATAAAAAAGTTCGGGAAACACATTTTGTGATGTATAAGTCGGCCAACAGATCATGTTAGGCATCAAAATCGTGTAGTGTTCGTCCCTCTACAGAATCCATGTACTATTGAACAAAATTCACCGGAGGCTTAGTTTCGGTGTCTACACTGCCTATATTTCGGTACATTGGCCACTAGAGTTAAAGCTAGTAGTTTCAAGTGCTCACATATATGTGTATATGTATGTATGTATGTACGTATGTATGTATGTATGTATGTATGTATATGTTACCGCTAAAGCTCGAAATCCGTTAATGTGCAGATTACCTAGCTAATCTGCAGATTAACTAGGGTGATCCGTTAAAGCTGCGAAAATCATTCCATTTCTCAAATTACCTAGGTAATCTGCAGAGTATCTATTTAATCTGCACATTACCTACTAGGCACTCGGTAAAGTGAAAATAAGATCTTTGCTGGAACAACAGCAACGTTTCTGTACGCTTAAATTAACATAATGTTATTTATTTAATTTTCAATATCTAAAGAATCAAGTTAATACAATCAAACAATCAACAAATTAGTTGATTGAATCAATCATCAATCAATTAAAAAAACTTTAATACAAAAATCAAACGGTTTAAAATATTACTACAATTAGGGAAATGAATTTGCAAAACATATG